ACTAGTGGTTCTAGTTTGACTCCTCCCACTGTTTAATTCTGGGCAGTTTCAGATCCCTGTGTACAAAGTAGCTACTTGGTCATAGTGGTATAGTACTGACTGTATTCTGACTTGTACTGCTGTCTCTCTTAAAGCTTTCCAGAATAGGTTGTAAGAATATTGTTTTAGTGGTACTTAACCAAATGTTTTTACAAAAAATTTTCACATCTCTTTCTTCTATATGCTTAGTAAACCATACTGACATTACTGGTTTGATAGGGCAAAACTTGGCAAATATTGGCAGTTTCATGTAGTTCAACCTGAAATTCTTTTTATTCATTGACTTAGACATGTAGGGGTTTCTGTGTATGCATAGTCTCAGAAATCTCACTTTTTGGCTAATAGAAATGAAAATGCAGTACTTGTTGAAGTCAAACTAGTAGCAAAGTAATTTCCTTGATACTTTAACAAAAACAAGAGATTGCTACATGAAGGACTGTCTTACTTGGGCATGAATTTATTGATTTAAGTACCAAGAGGGCGTTCCCCATCAAGGTGTGGCTAGCTGTGCCTGCATGTGCTTGATGATTACAAGGCTAGCCTGGCTTCTGCCACCAGCTGTTTCATTGTGGTAACTTCAGTTTCTTCCTATGAAGGGATGAAAAAATGTGATTTTGATTGATTTGACTATACTAAGAAATGGTAGTGATGGTGGTGATGATGAAAAAAATAGTTCATGTTTCTCTGAACACTTAAGTACCAGTTATAGCACTAAGTGCTCTACATCGTCTCTGTTAGCCTCACATCAGTTCTATAAAATAGATATCATCATTCCCATCTTACAAGTGAGAAAACTGGGTCGCACACATGTTCAGTAATTGTGCCCAAGTAATAAGTAATGGAACTGAGATTCACTTAGGCATTACTTGACAGCTACTGACGATTGAGGCAAATTTCAAATCTGAAGCAAATTAATCTGACAGTAAATTCAAAAAGAATGAGAACATTTCTTTAAAATTTATTTTTTGTGATCGTTTTCTTCTGTAGCAAAGGTTCTTAGACCTTATTGTATATAAAAGTCATTCGGGAAGACTGATTCAGTAGACTTGGAAGTGCATAGCCAGCCAGTAGTAGAAAGCTGTTGTCAAGAAGGCTAATTTACTAAGATTATATTTTAGAAAATCCAGAGAAAAAAATGGATTGTTAGTTCTTCAGCTGATTGATGCTGAATATTGATCTCTTGATACATACTGGCAGGATTCCAAACATGTACTCTGTTGCTGGTTGAATATAGATCTCTTTGTCTTAGTGATACTCACTAAGAGCATTTACATTTTTATCAGAACCAAAGAACCTAAAAAGACCTACCTATAAGCCCTTTACTTCTTGTCTGGAACAAGCAGTGAAAGTTTTCTCACAAGCCTATTACCTTTCTCAGAAAGTGCTTTTTATTTGTCTAGTACATAAAGACATAAGTAGTTTCCTAAAGTTTTGTTGTTACAGCCAAATTAGTTTTGGCCTGAAAGAAATACAGAGCAAATATAACAAGATCCTCACCTTAGCCAAAACAAAATAAGGAAATTATTAAAGTACCCAGCATGGTATACTGTTTCCTAGTGTAGTGTCTGTAGTGTAGTGATAAACTACTTGTGAAATGTACATCAGAGTGACACTGGAATTTATACCTATATACTAATTTAAACATGAAGAATGTTGATAAGTTGTCAACCAATTAGCTAGCAAGCTTGGTTTTCAGTTGAAACCCACCCCATTGAAATAACTGCGGGGGTTGGGGGGTCATGTGATTGTTTTGGAAGAGGATAGAATACAGAAAGGCAGGGCAGTCCACTAAAACCTCAGTGTCCTTATTGTATAGGGATAATAACACTAGTTTAATTTGTATTAGTTTGCTACAGCTGCCATAATAAAAGTCAATTGAGAAACTTAAAGAGTATAGTTCTAGAGGCTAGAAATCCAAGATCAGGTGTTAGAAGAATCGGCTTCATTCTGAAACAGCCTATAGATGACCGTTTCACATGGTCCCTCTGTGCATGTGTCTAGCATGTTTGTTTCTTCTAGTCTGCTCCAGTCATACTGGGTGTTGGACCTACTCTAACTCCATTTGATGTAATTACTTTAAGGGCTTTAATCTCCAGATATAGTCACATTCTGAGTTCAGTGTGGAAGAAGTATAGTTCAGTCCATAAAAGTCTCTAGAAGGTAGGGGTAATCATATAATTTACTTTCCAAGCTAAGATACTTCTGATTGTGATTTTCGATCACACTACTCATAGACTTATTCTATGACTCAAAAGCAGTCTTGTTTCTGAAGTACTTAGCATAGTGCCTAATAATATGAACTCAGTGAGGATTAGCTATTGTTTTAACCTTCAGGAAGTTTTCAGTAGCTTAGTGGGAAGATCCACCTGTTATACCTGAAGTCTTATTAGGTTCTTTGATTAATAATTGGAGATGTGTCTACCTGTTACAACTTGATCCATAACTATTCCCTGTTCAGTCATAGCTGATGAAAAGACTGATAAAATTAGCAATAATACACGCCTTATGTTTGCTGTCAGCTCTGCCTATGGGTAACTATTATTTGACCCCAGCCCCAGTGACTTTTGATCTTGTTTTATAAAACAAGAATAAATGAATCTTCCCTGTTAGAGCAAACATGTGAGGTCTCACAACCTCATTTAACGAGATGTCTATTTATGCAGTGGGACCCATGTGTCAGATGATGGTCTACTTCTGGTGACTAGATCATGAATGCTTGACTTTAGCCAAGTTTGAGACCATGAAAATTTCAAAAAAGCTTCAAATTATATAAAATGCTTCATCGTTCCCTTTCCTTACTCTCTCCCCCCCCCCCATACACTTGCCTAAAACCTTCCTTTTCATAGAGCAGGTTTTTTCAAACTAAGTCCTAAGAAAATGGAACAATTAAAACGATTTTTGAGTATTTGAAAAGAGGGAGAATTCTTTCCTTAATTGAACCAGGATAGAGTTTTAAATAGGCCTCAGCTAATAATACAGTGAAATGGATTCAGGTGACACTTAAGCCTGTCTTATACTACTCTCAGCACCCAGTCTTAGGAGAGAGGCTGTGTAACAACTGCAGCTAGAAACTAAAAAAGTGATTGACAGCCTTCTAGTCCAGAATAACAATAATGCCAATAGAAAAATTAGGAGAATCTAACAATTTGTGATATCCAACCCCTAGAGTAGAGATATAGCTAATAGTCTCTATGTTATCACCAAATTCTGAGAAGCAGAGTAGAAACAACTACTATTGTTGTTGTTGTTATTCCATACATACATGTATTTGAAAAACTCAGCTTAATACATCTTCTCTGAAACATATTCACAGGGAAGACAATCTTTATGTCGCAGTGACTCCAGTCTTCGTTAATTATATCACCAGTCTTAAGAGTTTGGTTCTCCACAGATGATTTGTTCTTTCATAAGAAACATGAATTAAAATTTGAAAGACCATAGAAATGAAACCGTGTGTGTGTGTGTACACATATGTGCATATATACGTGTGTGTGTGTATACATACACATATGTGTGTGTGTCCACACACATATATGTATATATACGCACATTTGAAGAAATGTTTATTCAGCTCCTTTGCACATTTTTCAGTTGGGTTACCTTTTTATTTTTTGAACTGTAAGTTCTTCTCAATACAAGGCATTTAACAGGTTATTATGATTAGGATATAACTTTTCCCCACCCCTTGGGTTGTCTTTCTGATAGTGTCCTTTGAAATACCTTAAGTTTTTAATTTAATGAAGTTCAACATCTATTTCTAACTTGTGTTTTTGACATTACATGTAAGATCCCACTGCTAGATACAAGGTTATGAAGATAAATGTCTGTTCTTGTCTAAGAATTTTATAATTTTAACTCTCACATTATTTCAGTATAAATTAGAAATAAAGAAAATGTAGGATTGCATTCTTCAGTCTCACTCCCACATTTCAAGAACTCATGTGACTAATGTCCACCATATCAGTTGGGGCAGCTATAGAATATGTCGATCATTACAGAAAGTTCTTTTAGTCACACAGATACACTCAAAGCCCTTCATTAATAGGGCCCAGTAGTCTGACTGAGTACTTGAATAGGTAATTCACAAAAGGAAGAAATGGACAGTCTCATATATGCAGAATTGTTCAATAGTAAAAGAGTTCTGAATTAGAATAGAGATAGAAGTTTTAGTCTCCCAGCTTAACAGTGACTTCTTCCTTCAGGTCTAGCTCAAGTCACCTCAGTGTCCTCGCTGCCTACCCTGCTTTTAACAGTTCAAACCTAACCACTCTTAATCTCCTGCCTTTTCTCCTCAGCTTTTCTTACCTTTACCATAGGACATATATTTAGCTTATTTTTCTTGTTCATTGCTATTCTCCCTGCTCCCTGAATGTAAAATTCATGAGGGACTGTTTTACCACTTCTTACCCCTCCAGTACCTAAAACATTGCCAGAGGTAGCAAAAATTGAGATACATGTTGTTGAATGAAAGCCGACAGGGTGTTAAAATAAAAAAGTATTTTCATACATTACTCTGAGAGTAAACTGGTACAACTATTTTAGAAGCAGTGTGTGATATGTAAAAGTCTCAAAACTGCTTGCTTTTTGACCCATTATTTCTTCTTTGAGATATTTTTATAAGGAAGTAATTAAGGATATGCACAAAGTTACAGCTGGAAGAGTCAGCAGTGGTGGAATGCTTTTATCTCCTGCGAGGAAAACTCCTGAACTGACATACTGGAAAGAATATAGATTGTTTTTTAAAATGTGGTGACAGGAACAACTCTGTCATCACAGAAAGTTCTTTTAAACACACAAACCCCTTGTTAACCCACTGTTAAGCTATTTTTGAAAAATTGTTCAAAAGAGATCTTTTCTTTCCATAATGTCTTAGCATTTTAAAAAATGGTTTCATTCATGATTTTTCTGACCTACTTCTTTCTTAAAGCAAAATAAGCTTACCTATACGATTTCTTCTACAGGTCCCTTAACATGGATTTTGAAAATCAAGATAAGGAGAAAGACAATAACAGTTCTTCTGGGTCTTTCAATGGCAACAGCACCAATAATAGTAAGACATTTTATGTCAATTGACTTCATTTGTGTGGTTGTCTTAATTAGAATTGTTCTATAACCAGTTGATAATTTACTGGATTTCCAAGGAGATATGCTTGGTATAGTAATAAAATCTAATCTGTCTGATATAAACTGTTCAATTCCTATGTTTCAAATCTGAACTGCTAGCTTATGTGTACTGCTTGTAACTCATTCCTAAAGGCATGAGATTATTTATTTTTTTTTTAAAAGAGAAGCAGGATAGTAGTATCTGCCTGCTTATGACTTCATTTAAATAACTTGTTGAGCCTGATTAATTTGTAGATGTTGAACATGAAGTCATTCAGTGACTCTTAAAGACTTTCAGGTACTTAAAACGACCTGTTATTAGTATCTCTTCTGATATATAAGATTATTTTATAAGAATACTTTTTTTTTTTTAAAAAAATGACATTTGTAAATGTTCAGCAGCATTATTCAGAATAAAAACAAAAGTAAAAACATCTCAAAGGTCCATAAACCTAGTAAATGAGTAAACAGAATAGCTCCCATACAATAGAACACTCTTCAGCACAGAAAAGAATGAAGTACTAATCTGTGCTACAATATGGATGGATCTCAAAAGTTTGTGAAAAGAGGCCAGGTAAGAAAGACTATATTGTAGAGTCTGTTTATATAAAATTTCCAAAAAGGCAAAAGACATACAGATGTGATAATGATTGCCTGAGAAGAATATGCTGTAAACTGGCATCTAAAACTAGATTATACTCAGTAAATTTTCCCCACCCCCAAATTACTGAAATTTACCCTAAAAATGCATGAATTTTATGCTTTATAAATGGCACCTCAGTAGAACTTAGAAAACTGGTGATGCTTATTACAGAAAGAGAATTAAATTGGAAGACTTGATAATAGTAAAGAGATTGATAATGTGTATCAAGACAGAGGTAGCAAATAGCAATAGCATTTCCCATCACATACCTACAACAACTGTTTTCCTTCTGATCATTTTGAGCAAGCATCTCCAGCCAGTAGATCAAAGTAAGTCTGGTCATTTTGACATCAATATACACAGAAAAAGAGAAAAACAAATCCAGTGATCATTGATGAGTCAAGAATAAGGGACTCTTGAAGAAGGGACCTCCTGAAGAAGGTTAGTTTGATACAGTGAGCTTGAATTAGTGGAGAAGTCATTTCAGATGGGAAGGTTCAGAGAAAATAAAATGAGCATGATTTACAAAGTCACCATCTAGTAGAAAATACGAGACTCTAAAGTTGGGTAAAATATTGAGTTAAATTATAGAAATTACTTAGTTCTGTCAGTTTTTCTAGTTTTTTAATACCTAATTCCACTAAATTTATACTTGCCCATTTTTCACTCAATTGTATGTATTTTATTGTCTTCAGCAGGAACATGATAAATACAGTACACAGAATCCTTTAAATATAACAAGTCTTTCTTAAATTTAAGGCACAGATCATTGTGTGAGGTAAAACACCATACCAGCAACCAGAAGTCAATGTCAAAATCTAATTTTACAAAGCAGTTACTACTACTACTGTTATTTTTACATAGCTGTTTACCTTCTATCACCATTTTAAGTCAAATCACATATTTTTGAAACTTAGAAAGTCTGTTACATTATATGTGTAAAATGATACACTGCATCACAAAAAGCTAGGATAAAGTAGCATCTCAATTTAAATAAATGATTTAAGTCAGCCCATACAATAGAAGGAAGTTACCTGATAATTCATTTTTTTATTTATTATTAATCAATGTCTAAAGAGTAGATGATTCTTTAAAATGATTGTTTTCTTAAATCTACTTTCTCTGTTGTGCTTACCCTGCACAATTATCGTGTGTAATTCCATTCTGGGGGAAAAGAATAGTGGTTGGGGGGGCGCCCATTGTTAGCCATGGATACCAGAAGGAGTAACTGCAAACAATCAGGAAAAATATAATGAGAGGCAGCCAGTTTTATTGTGGAGTATGACATCATACTTGGCATGTGACATTTCTTTTTCCATGAAGAATTGGCATGGAAATTGATAGAGAATAATACTTCTCTATCAAAAACATCAAAAAAAAATAGTAACAGCTAGAAAGATAAACAGAAACAGAAGAGATTTTGTAGGTGCTAGAGATGCTGAAGTCCTGAATGACCCATGGTATAGAAGACTTGAGGTACAGCTCTAAGAGAGGAGTTAGGAATTTAGTGTTGGGCTTTTGGCAGGATCCTCTGTTTGGAACTGGCTGAAGTAGAGAGTGAGTTGCTAGAGGTTTTTTAAAGGTCACAATTGCCTGCTCCCAAAGAAAAGAAAAATCAAGGAATTTGGAAAAGACAGAGATGAGTGAACTTAGCTGTGTGTGACAGAGTGAATGTTTCTCAGTGTTGACCAAAAAAAACAGGCACAAAACAATACATACCACATAAGTCAGTTGTATATGAGCTCAGCAAACAGGCTGGCTAACCATTAGTGTTTAGAATGCCTGCATACAACACACAGAAGAAAGTGTCGTGAAAAGCAAGCTAGTGTTGCAGTTGCACTCGGGGAACAGTAGCCTTGAGTTGGGGAGGGTGCACAGGAAAACCCCTGGAGTCAGCAGAGTTGTGTTTCCTTCCTGAGTGGAATTAGATTCGTGATGATTTGTTGAGTTCTGTGTTTCTGTTTCATGCACTTTTATGTATGTATATTATGTTTTTCAATTGAAAGGAGATTAGAAAGAGAAGGGAGGGGTGGGTGGTTCCTTCCACGTCCTCTCTGGCTTTCCCTAGACAGGTACTAACTCCTTTCTCATCATGCAGCTGCCCCAAGAAATCTACTAGAGATTCCTCTTAGCCCATCAATCCTTCATTAGTTAGTATTGAGTTGTTTTTAAAACCAGCCCACCTCCAGGTATCTGACCTCTTGAAGTTCTTTACTAAGCTTCCGATATAGTTTGTTTGAACAATGAAGATTGATGGAGATGTATAGTAGGAATTCCCTTCATTGATATTAATACATAATCTTAATTTCCCCACCTAGACTCTAAACTGTAAGGTCTGGAAATTTTGTTTTTAATTCCCTCATGTTGCCTGCTGTTCAATAGATGTTTGGTAGACATTTAGTGAAAAAGTACTCTCTCGTGGAAAGAAATTACTAACAATACTTGCATATTGCCATTGTCTATCTCATGATTAAACATATCTAATCTTAGTCTGACTCACTGAATGCTAAAAATAAGTCTATGTACCTGGTGTTTACTTTCATCACCATGCCTATTTTTTTAATAGTTTATTTTTACATCATTTTGTGCATTTTTCCGTATCAGTTGTAATCCCCATGGGCTTCCCATCACCAAATCACCCATGTGCCATCACCACAGTCCAGTGCATTTCCCTTCCCCCCGCCATTTTTGATCCCATTCCCCACCCCACCCCCATAACATGTCCCTGGTTGTTCATCATCATTATTTTCTCACCTGGTCCTTGATACTCCTGCTATGAGTGAAACCATGGGTATTTTTCCTTTTCTTTCTGGCTTATTTCACTAAGCATGATCTTTTCCAGCGCCATCCATGCTGCTGCAAAAGGCAATACCATGCCTATTTCTTAATTGCTGATTTTGGTTTTAAAGATAATGTAGCTGTAACTTGGATGGAGCTGGAAAAGATCATGCTTAGTGAGATAAGCCAGAAAGAGAAAGAAAAATACCAGATGGTTTCACTCATAGCAGGAGTATAATGGACCAGGCGAGAAAATAACAAAAATAATGAACAACATAGCAGAGACACTCTGTGACGGGTGGAGTGGGGAGTGAGATCAAAAACAGGGAGGGGGGGGGAATGCACGGATTATGGTGATGGCACACGGGTGACTTGGTAATGGGAAATGTACAAAATGATGTAAAAATAAACTTTTGTAAAATAAAAAAAAGAAAAAAAGATAATGTAGCTGTGCTTGAGTAAGTTTTCCCAGTTATGACTGCTCTATTTTTGCTTTTGCTCTTCTTTGTTTTTAAATTACTATAATTTGGCTTAAATTTCTAATTAAATCAGTCCCTTATCTTGATACCTGAAAGAAGTGTGGTATCGAAGGCGTGTACATCTTTCGTAGCGCTGCGGGCAGCTGAAGTAGCTACCCATGCCGTTGCCTTCGGCAGACTTTATTGGCCAGCTCTGACAACAGCTCCGGGAGCAGGGACTGGTTTAAAGTCTGTGCTTTAAAAAAAGCAAAAATCTTTGCATCTCATACTCCAGAATGGTTCTTTGTGTTCAGTTTTGCATTTTAATTGCAAATTGAGCTTCTAAAATTTAGATTATAAACAAATACTTCTCATATAACCAACTTACTGAACAGCCTTTCTTCTAGCCAGCCTCTTAACTTTTTCTGTACAAATTTTAAACCAATCAAATTTTAAATCATTGTATATACTTACTGTAGGCCATATGATGCATTGTTTTGCACATGATGATGAATGCGGTGGTTTAAGATTTTGGGACTTTTTTGTTTCTTACTGTAAAATGATTATTTAAGCAACCATTGTTTTCTATTGTGACAGGCATCTGGCTCTGTAGTCTGGTCTAGTTCTTTGAACCTATATAGAGCACCCAAATAAAAAACACTTAGGTGAAATTCAGAGATTTCATAGTTTTGTCTTATAAAATACCCACATGACACTTTAAGATACATCCCCTCCTACAGTAACTCATGGGCTAACCTGAATAGTTTGACTGCAGTTCAGTTCAGACATCTGCTCCAGATAACTTCTGTTTGTCTTGACATGCAGATCATTCTCCCTAAATTGAATTGCCCTATCCCTAATCATTTGAACCATCTACCTGGCCACTAAGAAGTTAATGTCTTTTTTTTTTAATACTTAATATTTTAGTTCACCAGAATCCCTCAATAGCTTTCTTGGAGACAATTTAATACCAAAGAGCTGTTTTTAAATATCAATTGATGATTACAGCCCTTTGTGGAGATCTTCACCTCTGTATTTCTTTACAATAAGTCATATGAAATTTTCTTCTCTGATTCCTCATGTGATTTTTCTTTATAATATCTCAGGGTTAATTTGTAAGTGGATAGATAAGCTTCATTATTTTTTGTTTTCATTCAGCGGTTATCAAGATTTTGCCATGTTTTTCTCTCAGATAATTCTCTAATTTTTCTCAGTGCAAACTAAAATTTTGTGGGTAGTATTAAACTGGACCTGTTAAACCCTAGAGATTTCAGTTCAGTTGACTTGAAATTGGGCTCTGGCATTGTAATGTAGTTACAACTCTCCAGGTGAGTCTATTAAGCACCCAAAGAATTGAAAACCACTGTGCTAAAGCCTACTCTATCCCAAGAGATTCATTTTCCCCCTTTTATATCCAGTTTGGAACCTTAAATTGTTTCCATAGAAGATTTTGTGATCTGCTCTTTGCAGTTGTCTTATTCTCTCCACTCCTCATACCCAGTCTACTATTAGTAGCAATGAAGAAAATTGAAGGTGTATATTAAATGCACAGATAACAAGAAATGGTCAGTTTGGTAATCCACCTCTTTTACCAAACCTGGTGTATACAAGAACACAAATAGTAATATGAATTAACTTGAATTTTTACTACCTCTTCGTGTTCTGTTTGGCAGGTGTCATCTTCATGGTTAGATAGGAGATCCCCGTATGTTTTGAGGAGGAGCAGGGAAGGAAAAGAACAAAGGGCCAAATAGCGCACATCTTATACACTGATCTCTGCCTGTGTACTACCCTGGTCTCATATACTAATCTGCATTTTGAGTTGCTGTGTAGAGTGTGCTTGGGCACTGCGCCTGTCCCCAAAGCTGTTAACCCTGTTTTCTCTTTTAGGCATCCAAACTATTGACTCCACCCAGGCACTGTTCCTCCCAATTGGAGCATCTGTCTCTCTCCTAGTAATGTTCTTCTTCTTTGACTCAGTTCAAGTAGTTTTTACAATATGTACAGCAGGTAAGTGAGTTTCTCTTTCTATTTTTAACCTATACGAGCTGTCAAGTTTTGCTTCATAACTCTGGCTTGTTCTCCTCCTCCCACTCCTTGAATGCACTTGATACATACATATCATTCATTTGGCATCAGCTCAGACCCACCAGCATTAGCTGAACAAAAGCCCACAGTTTTGAACACTCATGAGCTTTGTGACACTAGAGTGGACTCAGTTGGGCCATGGCTTTGTCGGGTTGATACTCAGAAGGTCTAGCTTGGCTGGCCAATCATTGCAACCTTATGCAGTAGAAACATTGTGATCCCAAGTTAGTTCATCTCGGCTCTCTGACCTGTTTTTCAAGCCAAGAGGTGTCAGAAATACATGGAACAACAAAATGCTGGACCCCTTGGGATAATCCTCTCCGTGGGCTGCTATTATCTTACTGAATAAAAGAGAATGAGAAACCCTACCCGATGCTTCCCTACTTCAAATCATTACTTCCTTTTTAAAGAGGTTATCTGTACTGTGTAAAAGGAAAATACTTGTCTTCACTCGTTCATTTAATTATATCCAAATGTTGAAATGCTTTTGTTTCCATAAGTCATGCTGTTTTTCTTATACATGGTAACAAAATAATTTAACCCTGCATTTTTTCTCTCTCTAGTTCTTGCAACAATAGCTTTTGCTTTTCTTCTTCTCCCAATGTGCCAGTATTTAACGAGGCCCTGTTCACCTCAGAACAAGTAAGGACTTGAGATTTACCTCTAACTTACAAACTTCTGTGTGTTTTTCTCTCATACTTGATAGCACTATTAGGTTATAAATTTCTGCTTATGTCTGAAGCACACAAATGCCAGAAAACTGGGAAGGAGATATTTGATTTTTAAAACTGAGAAATAGTGCTTTATTTTGCATTTATCACAGCAGAGGAAATACAGATAACCCTCTTGCAGTCAGCATCACTGTAGGAAGCTTCCTTCTTGGGCTTTTGAAAGCTGAGCCATCTCTTGATGCAGTGCTCTCGTTCCGTACCCAGAGTCATCGAATGTGCAACAGCAGTGGGCTCAAAAGGCTTGTCTTTGCCTTTGCATCTTTCTGCCCTCAAATTAGTATACCAGTCACTCAGGTTTAACATCAGTATTCACAACTTAACTCTTAAAGCCGTGGCCCCTCAGAAACAAATGCAAATGATTTGCTAGTGGAGGTGCCGTGTGCATTTAAGGAAACCAGTCACTTGGGGCAACTGGTTTTCCCAAGAATGAATGATACCAAATAGATTCACCTTGCTAAATAAATTGTTCACATCATTTTGTTTCCCTCATAAGAATAAATAGCATTTCCCCTGTAACTATATAGATTCTCCAGTGATTGCTTAAACTTCTGAACACTCACATTTTAATTTAGATTAAAGTACATTTTCAGGTGGGTGTAGAAGTGTAATTCCTGTGAGCTTTCTGAAGCATACTCCAGAAAGTTTGAGGGATTTTGGCTTTCTAGGTGTGTAGATGGTATTGTTTCCTGTTCTCATCTGACCATCATAAACTTTAACCGTGACTCTTCTAAAGGAGATTCTGATTATTGGATACAACTCATTGTCTACAATCCCATATTGTTGTATATTTCAGGATTTCCTTCGGTTGCTGTGGGCGTTTCACTGCTGCCGAGTTACTGTCATTCTCTCTGTCTGTCATGCTCGTCCTCATCTGGGTTCTCACTGGCCACTGGCTTCTCATGGATGGTGAGTAATATGTGACAAGGTGAAACTTTAATAAGTTTTACAAGTAAATTTGCCTGCCCTCTACTTTCTGTATTTTACTAATACTGTCCTGTGATAACCATGACTATCACGTGTCTAAAGGTAGTATTGTGTATCAAGTTTTCCATTTTTACCCACATTCTTAATATTTTTTAATAATAGCTTTTTTGAGCTATAAACTTAAAGTGCATAAGTCAGTGGTTTTTGGTAATATTCAGAGTTGTGTAACCATCACTACAGTCCTTTCAAAACCTCTGTCACCCACCTTCCAAAACCCACGCCCATTATTAGTCACTTCCTTGTTCCTCCCAGTTAGGCTCCAGGCATCCGCTGATCTCTGCTATTTCTATGGATTTGCCCCATCCTGGACATTTCTTTCCCTCAGCTTAATGCTTTTACGGTTCATCCTTGTTGTGATCTGCATCAGTACTTCTTCCTTTTCTTTCTGGTAGATATACCAATTTCATTTTTCCAGTCATCAGCTATTTATCCTTTTTTGGCTGTTTGTTGCTATGATTGTAAAAATTTCTGTCTAGACTGTGCTTTTTAGATAAATGGGTGGTTTTTAGCAACACACATATAAAGTACACATATGCACATGTGATGCACTACAATATATGACATATACAATAGCTATAGTGCCTGGCTACATCATTGTATAGTTGTACAATATGCTTTTGAAAAGTTCCAGAGTGTTCTGATGTAAGGATTTTTTTTTTAACTGTTGCTAGACTCTTGGGTAGTTTTTAAACATGTCCTATTACATATAACCCTGAGGTAAACATTCTTGTTTCACAAGTTTTGGTACACATGTCAGATAACTAAGATATCCCTAAGGATGATTAGCTATGAAAGTCCTGGACCCATGGTTTTTGTAGTTAAAGTTTTTTTTCCTCTCTCTGCTGTCTTTCAGAAAGGCTTCAGTGGTTTATGCTTAGAGCTGTGGCATGAGACTTTCCTGTAATTAGACTGTGGTGATGATTAAATAGTAATGACCACAACAGCTAACAGTTCATTTTATGCATTGGGCATTCTCCCAGGTGTTTTACATGGTTAATCATATTTAATCCTTGGAAGCTTTTTATAATAGAATTAAAAGCTCTGGTCATTGATTGGAGCAGAGATAGTAAATATTAGTCCAGATCAAGCTCATGGCCGCTTTTATGATAAATACCCTGAAAGGGTTGGCTCTCTCACAAAACAGCAAGCAGTGTGTCCTTTACACCTATTAATTGAAATTGTTTTCTGAGTGTTCATCAAGTCCCTTAAACTGACTGGCTCTACCTAGCAGACTTTGCGCTGTTGCTGTTTCCCAGCCAGGGTCACTTTCACCTGCTAGCTTGTACTGGCTAAAGTACCTGTGGGCAGGTAAAGTTGTCCCTCAGTAAAGGAGAGCCTTTGGACTTTCTGTTTCTCAAAATAGTTATCTGATATATTTGGCTTGTTTTTGCCTCTTGCAGAAAACTTAGCTTTTTGACCATGGTCTTTAATATTCTGAAATGTTTTTCTCTAGAATGGAAATTTTCTTTCCAGAATCAGAAATCCTTTTGTAAATAGTGATGATTTAGTGGTAGCTTAGAGTGTTTCAAACAAGTGTTTCTTTAAGTCTGTTCTTTGACATTACCTTAGAGTAAAAACACAATGATAAAAAGTTATATTAGGCAAGGCAGGATGTAGAAGTCTGTTTTTCAGTGTTATAATGCTAAGAAGGGACTTCAGAGAGTTTTCTTGAACTGAAAGCCGAGCTTTGTTATTTACTTGAACTCACTTTCATCTAGCCAAGTAATCTTTGGGGAAGGCTCGAAAGCGCCTGACTGATCGGCGGTGTAGTGCATTAGTTGAGAGTTGGTGAGTCTTGGTGCTCAGATCTAGTGCTCAAGACCAGCTGGACCAGGTTCACAGGCCACAGCCCCTGGCTGGTTCAGAGACTATCAAGGAGGCGTTCAGCCCTCTCATTGTTGTGACAGTTGCTATAAGCCTATGACCAGAAATTATTCAGTGCCAGAAATGTAGTGATTGTGTTTGTTTTAAATTGCTAGGCTTGAGTTTAGTCTGTCCTAGGGCTATCTTAAGACCTCTGACCATCTAGAAATCCTTTTATCTTTGAAGTGAGTGTTGCCTAAGATCTTACAGATGACTTAATCCTATGGGAGGACATCTGAGCTCGGTTTGGCAGCCATTGCCTTTGTCCCTGTTCCTACTGGTTCTGGAAAACAAGGTGATTCAGAGATGGTATCAGTAATCATTGAAAGTGCTTATAGCTGAGTGGGTAAGATTAATAATTTGCTTTCATAACTTTTGGCTAACTTACATTTAACTAAAAATTAAGGGTTTTGGTAGAATCTTGAAGTAGCATGAATAAGGGAAAAATTTTAAAGATTACATGAACAAAAGAGGCAAACTAGATGGTAACATTGAGAGAGTCTTTCAGGAAGAGGACACAGTCGCCGCATGGTCAGAGCGAGTAGGAGTGCAGTTCACTCCTTGATACTTTCCATTTACAAGTTTCTCAGGACTAGCCAGGAGGATAGATTCTGCTCTCCAGGCATGAGTTGTACAAAGGGGAGTAGAAAGAGTCCGCAGCTGCACTTACTGTGTGGGGAGGTGTAGGCTGAGGAGAGGAGCGCAGGAGACGTGGGGCTGAGGCCCCGTCTGTATGGGCACAGACCTGACCTGTCGCAGAGGAGAACCCGGTGGCCTGAGGGCAGGAGGTGATGTTGGACAGTGACAGCAAAGGTAGGTAGGAGCCAGAGACAGGAAGGTGGGGAGGACACGCAGAGGAGTGTGCAGGGACATGTGACATCAACTCTACACTTGTAACAACAGGAGAGGGACAAACACGGTGCCCATTGTCCTAGTTCTACTGCTGTTTTTCTTGGTTGTAGAAAGGAGTGGTTTTCTCATCTGCCACACCATATCCACCCTAGGGACTCGCTGAGTGTTGAGTTGATGTGTCCGGGGCCGGCCAGACTGCTGTTTCCCTATATTGTTAATTTACCACCAGTTCTATGAAAATGATAATGTAGTTTTTACTTGCTTTTCTTAAATTTGAAGTTGATAGAACATAATTCTTTGCTCATTCAGCAAGTACTTATTTTCTAATCTGTCGTGTGTTGGGGATCTAAAGAATAAGCCATGATGTCTGTCTACCAGGAGCAGCTAGCATTGGGAATAAACTAATTGTCTGTATAAACAGTCATGCTGTTAGAGAATCGATGCGTGAACTGAGAGATTCAAAGTTCTGTGGTAGCACAAAGAGAAAACAACTTAATCTGGATAGGTCAGCAAAGAACCCTGAGGAAGGGCTTTCTGACCAGTTTGAAAATGAGAATGAATTTTGCAGGTGAGTAAGTCCGGGACAGGATCTTCACTGTAGAGCATGAAAGAACTTATGTGCTGAGAGAGGTACAGCTCTGTCTGAGTGACTAAAGACCAGACCGGCTGAGGCAGGCTGGGAGCACGCCCTACTGCACACCCCCAGGAGTCACGGGGAGTGTGGGCAGCGACAGCCTAGCTATTGGGGGAGGGCTAAGTGGGGAGAAACCACCCGTGTGTCAGGCCTGTGATTGGCTTCTGGGTTGCAGCGTTGAACCATGGTTGAGATTTTTTAAAGGTTACAGGTCAGATTTTGAGAGGCTCAAGAAAGAACACAAACCCAAAAAAAGCATAGAGAAGAGTGAATTACTGGCGCCGTGACCCTGAGTAAATGCAAGGAGCATGACCCAGGATGTAAAGAGGCAGGACAGGGCGCCCGCAGCCGGGAGGGCCGGGGAGGTCGGCGCCAAGCCTGGCTCAGAGCTGGGCTATTCACAGACTCCAGCAGGTCCCATGGGTGGGTGTCAGTGGCTTCGGCTTGAGCTTAGGGCTGCCTGGTGTTTTAAGAATTGACAGATGCAAAGTTTATAACCTGAGTAACTTGCTGTCTGGTGTCCCCTAGCCCTGGCCATGGGTCTCTGTGTCGCCATGATCGCCTTCGTCCGCCTGCCCAGCCTCAAGGTTTCCTGCCTGCTTCTCTCAGGGCTTCTCATCTATGATGTCTTCTGGGTGAGTGTCTGCTTCCCGAACTACTGCTGTCCTTCATGTTTAATCGGAGTGTTCGCTCCTGAAAATTGTTAAAAATCTGACTGGCCCGGGCACCTCCTGTCTGAGGCCACACCCTGCTCCTGACATGCGCACGTTAAGGGTGGGCAAGCAGCTGTCCCAGCCTTGGTTTGTGGAGCTGTGTCACCATAGCTAGTGTGCACGTGGCTCAGGCAGAAGGGGGAATGGGCAGGCAGGCTCGCTGCAAGGGGCGCTTCTCCTGCACATACCGTGGAGGTCAAAGCTTTCTCCTCAAAGCACGCAGTTAACAAGCTTGACGTTGCCATATTCTGAGACTCCACTCTCGAGAAGACGGCTAGTGCTGAAAGTGGGGGTGCCTGCAGCACCCTGCTAAATTCGGCATCCCTCCCCTTGGCAGGTGTTCTTCTCTGCCTACATCTTCAATAGCAACGTCATGGTGAAGGTGGCCACACAGCCGGCTGACAACCCCCTTGACGTTCTATCCCGGAAGCTCCACCTGGGGCCTAGCGTTGGACGTGATGTTCCCCGCCTGTCCCTGCCAGGGAAACTGGTCTTCCCCAGGTAGGCAAACTCTAGCCTCCCCGTGCCTGGATTAGTCTGAAAAGGGCTGTGAGTCCTCTCCATCTTACAAATGAGCAAGAGAATATTGACGTGCTAAGGTGCATCACTCAGTGATACAGGTGCTGCTTTTTCGCGTTATTTTCAAATCACCACTCACTACTGGAGCCACAGTAAACGCACCGTGCGTGAGGGCATGCGTGGTGGCCAGCTGTGCGTGCAACCTCAGCACTGAGTGTTGGCAGGTAGGAGGTCGCTGGGCATCTCTAGCAGAGGCCGTGCTTGAGCAGACCCGCTGGCCATTGCTCACAAGGGGCCTCCCGCACACCGAGGGCCAGGCTGAAGACTGGCCAACACACGTTGGCTTTTAATCTCTCAGCCCCTAGAAGTTTCCACCTGCCGTTCAGTAACGCTCTGATAGACCTTGCGCGGGAGGCACGTGGCCACCAGACTGCCGCGCTGACGTGCGCCCCGCATTCCAGCTCCACCGGCAGCCACTTCTCCATGCTGGGCATCGGGGACATCGTGATGCCAGGGCTCCTGCTGTGCTTTGTGCTACGTTACGACAACTACAAAAAGCAAGCCAGCAGTGACTCCTGCAGTGCCGCTGGGCCCGCCAACATCTCCGGGCGAATGCAGAAGGTCTCCTACTTCCACTGCACCCTCATCGGTTATTTTGTAGGTAAGAGAACACCAGAAACGCACCACGGGTCCCCTTCCCCGCCCCAGCTCGCTGACCCCTGGGGTTCAGGCAGGTCCCGGAGCTGCAGAGATGGAAGGAGAGCAGTGCAGTAACGAAAGAGAAAACCGCATGGTCTGTGCTGGCCAGGCCAGGCCATCCAGGGCCCCTGAGGGAGAGCCAAGAGCACCTGGCACCCAGTGATCGTGCACCAGGCCGCTTCTCATTAAATCTTCAGCCTGAGTTTAAGCAGGAAGTGAACATGACAGTCGTTCATTAAACAGGTCGTCCTTCATTTACTCTAGCATTGCTGTCGCCTCAGCTGGCTTTTCTCTAGCCCGCTCTCAGGCTGACAGGAAGGACGCTGGGGCTGGGCGGGCACCTTCTGTGTGTGCCACACGGCAGCCGAGCGGCTGGCACTTCTCCGACGTCCCTGATCACACAGCACTTTCCTAGACAGCGTCCCCCAGCCAGAAATACGGTGTACTAGAAGAGCGCTTAAAAGGCCATATTTACACAGCAGAATGCGGTGTGGTCAGGTTTGTAATTGTCCTGATTTATCGTTCTTAATCTCTTTCTGTGGCTGAGTTTGTCAGTTACACCATTGTCTGCTCGTATGCCTGTGCGACAGAGGAGACATGGTGTAAATGGGCCTGAGCTGCTGTCCAGTGTCAGGCATTCGCTGGGGGCCTTGGGAAGTCACCCCACTCCCAGGGAGGCAGGCAGCGGAGGCTGGACGCCGAGCCCCGGCCGTTGGAAGCAGCAGAGGGGGAGCCTGAACCAATCCTCTGCCTCCAAATCTGGCATCACCGCCACGGAGCCAGGCAGTGCGTCCTGGGAAGCGGCTCCAGTCTCGTCACTGCTGGCTGGGATGTGTCACACTAGCTCCTGCCAAGCAGCACGTAGGTCAGAGGTTCCCTGGCCCCGGGCCGACCCCTCGGTTACTCCAGCTGTTTCTCTGTCCTCACAGGTCTGCTCACTGCTACTGTGGCGTCTCGCATTCACCGAGCAGCCCAGCCCGCCCTTCTCTACTTGGTGCCATTTACCTTATTGCCACTCCTCACGATGGCCTACTTAAAGGTGAGCTGCGTATGTATCTCCTCGCTGGAGGTGGTTCTGCTTAAGTCCCTGCTCTTGACAGCAGGGCTTCATTTTGGCTAACCTGGCCTTAGCAGTCTCTCCCAGATCTTGCAGCCAGTGGCAGGAAATGCTAATACGTGAGCCCAGCTGCAGGTAGTTCCTGTTTCTCTTAAGGGCAGCACCATTGCACCAGCAGGTTCTTAACGCCGCATATGTAAAGTTTAATTGCATTGAGGCAATATTGGGAAAAAAACGACCTAGAGGCATCATCCCTCACTTACCAGATGAGGAAACAGATGCAGAGTTTAATTAACTTGCCCGGATCATATGATTCACGAGTGAGGGAGGGTCCTTCCTTGCTCAGGGGCCTGAGCGTCTTCCCGGAACACGAACTTAGGGCCTTTTGGTGAGGTTTGAAGGTTCCTTTGCTTCTCCACAGAAGCAACCTGAGCTGAGGTCAAGAATCACAAGGGACTCACAGGCGCACGGGCCTCATGCTTAACTAAGCCTGTAAACTTAGCGCAGTTCCTTCTTTCCCAGGGGGACTTACGGCGGATGTGGTCTGAGCCATTCCACTCCAAGTCCAGCAGCTCCCGCTTCCTGGAAGTATGATGGGCCCCAAGCATGACCGGAGCGGCCATCGGAGTCCTTGTCTGTCGACGCGTGGTTGTTTCCTCTTGAGCCGGCCTGGTGCTCGGAGACGCACCCAAGGACCTGGCGTGTGACTGGGTTTTGCGTGTGAGGGAGCTCGGTGCAGGAGCAAGGTGCTGGGCCCAGCCGTGCCGCCTCCTGTGCCGTTGCGGAGACGGCGCCTTCCTCCCCCGCTTTCATGGGTCTGCGCCAGACTGTTAACCTGGGGGGATGAAGATGGAACTTTAACAGTGGCAACGGCAAGGAGGCATTCTGTACCTTTTGAACACTAAAAGGACGAAAAGAAAATAGTACATTAACAAACGAAGTTTCTTCCGTGAACCCTCGAGAACTTTGGGACCAGTTTTCCTAAGGGGGCCTCAGTTTCAGAGAACTGAGACAGAAGCGCTTCTGTCGTTATATTCTTCTTTCCTTTTTTTGGATTTATTAAATATTTTCTGTGGTGTGAAGTGACTTCTTAAATCCACAGACATTGAGTGACTTACGGCATACACCCGAGGACCGTCCCGCTGGCGTGGGGCCGCAGCTCGGTGCGTCCCGGGGCGGCTGCCGCCCCGCAGAGCCTGTGCAGTAAACGCCTGGACCCAGGACGCTCCTTTGGTTTGGTCCACGCAGCAACTAGGGTGAAAAGTTGCCACTTTTGCCCTCTTTTGCCCTCGCAGCTCCCCCGCGGGGTCAGCGCCCCGAATCAGTGCATGTGTTGCAGCGCAGCGTCTCGTGCTCTCCGATCATAGTCATGTACTACTTGTAAATACATTTTTCTATTTTCTATTTTTTTGTATTTTTTTTTTTTTTTTTTTGCATTTTGTTCATTGGTGTGCTGTATTTTCCATGCCCTCACTCCTTTAAGAAGAAAAAAAAAAAGGAAAACAACACACTCCTGTCCTTGGTGTTGTGATTATAGTCCTGACTTACCGATGGTGACAGCTGGGTATTAGGGACAAATGTTGCTGCCGCTCCGCGGTGGGCCCAGTCTCTGCTGAGGTCTTTGCAGGAAAGGAGCCAGCGTGAGGCCGTCACCTGCCTCCGTGTGGGGACGCAGCGCCTGGAAGTGGCCGAGATGCCAGACGGAGGGGGTGGGGGAAGGGCCCGTGCGTCCCGGTTCCTCCCTAGGCAGGTGGCCTGCGTCGTAGACTGGGGAGCCGGAGCTCACAGGCGGTGCTCCTGGCCCTGTCGGGGACCGTGACACCATGGGGTGGTGCGAATTTCCGTGGTGTCTCCGGTCCCGCGGAGGGCTGCTGTTGTGTTGGTTTTTAATGAGTGACCCCTTTCTAGCCTTTGTCACCTCATCACTTTTGACTGCTGGCTCCAAACCCACATAATGGGAAGGCCCTGTCTGTCCCCTGGTGGGGTCACCTGTGGGTCTAGGTCAGACCGAGAGGCCCTAGGTGGCAAAGGGCGGAACGCGCCTAGATGGGGGAGACCGGAGAGACGCTCACGCTCACTGTTGATCAGCTCCGCTTCTTCTTGGGCCTTGCGGGGAGCGGGGTGCTCCTCAGCCTGGCTCCCGATGAGCACAGGTGCAGCGGTGCTTCGCAGCCCCCCGGAGGCTGGTCCCGGGAGGAGCGGGCAGCTCTCCTGCATGGCAGAGGAAGACACAGGTCTGCTTGCGCTTGGGACGGCAGCTGCCAGTCTCCAGAGCCCTCAGCACCGGGAGCTGCCCTGCGCCAGCAAACGGGCCTCTCTCTGAATGTGGTGCTGGGCAGCGGAGGCCTTGCCCTGGGCGCCCGGGCCTCTGCCCTCCCCGCCCCCCTCCTTGCTCTCTGACCGCAGGGGTCCTCGGTCCGGGCTTGTCTGTCCATGGAGTCTTCTGCTTACGTGGACCATGTTCACAGCGGCAGCACGCACCCTCTTCCTTCTCACAGGCCTGAGATTGTTTCCCCCACCCCAGGGAAACAGCTGAAGGGGCAGCTCCCAGTGACTTTGTCCTTTTGAACTGAGCTAATGAAGCTGTGACCGCAAGCCCCATCCAGAGCCTGGCAGCCCTGCCTGCAGCTGGGCCTGCTCTCAGCCAGTAGCCCGACACCCGGGAGCCGCCATGCTGTCATGTCGGAGTGGCTGGCACCCAATGGGGACCGCGGTTGGGGTCACTTGTAGCCCACGTGGTTAGATTTACCCTGAAGGCAGGCGAAGGAGTTGTTTTGCCAATAATAAAGTGCTGAAAAAACCTGGGTCTGCAGAGCGGCTCTGGGGCCAGTCTGCAGACGAGGAGGAAACCAGCACAGGCCTCGGACGCGACCAGCTCTCAGCGGCGACTTCCCAAGCTCGGGCACTAGAGGCGGCCACAGCTGGGCGCTGCGGCCCAGTGCCACCCTCGGCCTCTCGCTCCCCTGGGAGGGATAAGGCAGGTAAGAGGTTTTCACCTGCGGCCATTTCTTTTACTCCTGCGCCATCGCGGAGGAGACTGCTGTTGTCCACTCGGGTTCCGACTTCTCATGCGGCACTTACCCCTCCCGCCCGCGGGCCACCGCCTGATTCTCCGCAAAGCCGCTTCGGGGCCGTTTGGGCCGCTTGAGCGCCCGCCCCGTCCCGTCCCGAGGGCGCAGTCCCAGGGGGTCTCGAGTGCCCCCCTGTGCACAGACACAGGCGGGGTGGCACACCCCGGCATCTAACCTGCCGCCCGCCCGCCCGTGACGCGGACCCCCACCCCACCGCGTGTCCCTTGGCATCGCCCAGCAGGTCTCCTGCCCACCGTCTGGTTGCTGTTGAGAGCTCGTCTGGCAGACCCCGGCTTATTTAGGGTTCCCCCCATCGGGGTTCCAGCCAATCAGGTCCAGCCCCGAGGCGGCTCCCTGCCAAGCAGAGCCTGTGAAAACTGCCACTGGCTGTTAGAACACCCCCTGAGGGGTCCTGACAGCCTCCTGCTGGCCCCACCCGAGAGGCCTCCCACAACAGGGCACTGTGCTGAGGCCGTGAAGTAGGTTCAGAGTGAGCCAGGACGTCCTGGCTGACCTGCAGGCCTGGCCTGCACAGCTTCTCTTGACAATGGCGGAGAAGACGAGGCAAGAGCAAGAACTACCCAGGAGCCAAAGAGCTAGGAGCGGCTCAGACCAAACACAGGAAGCCTGCGAGCTCGTCAGCACCCCGGCACAGCCCCTGGAAGGGGTTTCCAGAGGGGCTGGCGGCCCTGCTGAAAAGCCCTCGCCCTGCCCTGCATCTCCTTATCACGGAACTGCATGCAGGCCCCGCCTTCAGAAATCACAGGCCTGTGGCCCCAGGGTCTCCCAGTTCCAGCACTTTTGAAACTCATCCACCCCCTCCAGCAAATAAGGACCACAGCGCAGCCTTCTCTTAGTATATTCCACTATGTACATCCAAAACCTCATGATTTACATGGGGAAACAGTTTTGCTATCCATTTTACCGGCCAGGGAACTGAGCATCCAGGTCAGCTTCCTTGTCCTGGGTCTCCCTGCCTCCACTTCCACAGGGTACTCAGTGCCAGGCTTTGCCCTTGGCTTGCACAGAGGTGGGGAGTTTCTGTAAAGAGGGAATGACTTTGCAAACACCAACCCCACGAGGAAGCAGAACAGGCAAAGTCCTGTGGGAAGCCACACTCGGTAAGAGGGTAACAGCCCACACAGACCAGCAGACTTAGGACCCAGCACCCAACAAGCAAACCCTTTCCGAGGCACCCAAAGCCGCCAGGTCTCCCTGGTTGTGCAGGTGTTAAAGTCTCAGCACAATCCTGCTGTCCCTGAATCGCCTGCTTCCCCTCAGCAGTGTACTTTGATCCATCTGCCCGTTCTGCTCCCCACTCTGTCTCTGGTGAACCCTCTCACTCCCTGTACCTCTGGCCTGTAACCCAGTTCTGTCTGCATAAATAAATAAAAGTAAACCTTGGGAGGAGCGAAGCCATAAAAATAACTGTCAAGATCAGTAGGGGTGAGCTGTGATGCAAACCAATCTTCCTACTAAAGATGACTTTAAAATATAGGTGAAATATATAGAAAATGTTTCTCTAAGAACTATGGGGAGGGTTCCGCTCTTGCTAGCGGTGGAGGGACTCCTTTTCACCCAACTCTCCTGTACGTGTGACAGAGTCCCAGCAAAATGCAGAAAAGAGTGATCAGCCGGGAGAAGCTGGAGGCTGGCTGGCAGTTGTAAGGGAATAACGCCAGGTGGTTTCCCACTTCATGCCATTCAGGGTGGTTAAAACTTGGATAAGAAATGGAATCTTCCTGTTTTCAATAATGAAAGGAAAAGATTCAGAACGATCCCACCACCCAAAAAGAGGGAGAGTGAATTCTAAAACAGACAGTGGGAGGTTCGTGTTCTATGTGTAAGTCCTGCCTAAACTTGATCCCTAAGATAGATACACACCCACAGAGAACACTCCCGAAGCTAGATAAAAGAACGAAAGTTCAATTTAAGCTGCGGCTTGAATTTTAAGTCTTTTAGGTCTGAGTTTGGTCAAGTGAACGGCCTGCTTTAAAAATATGTTCAACAGAGCTTCAACAAAGCACTAATTAGTCACCATACCCAGCATATAATTAAAAGTTGGTACACATTCAAAAATACAAGTGTGAGCCATACTTAAACAAAAAGCCAATGACTGAAGTGATTTTTAAAGTGACTCAGAGGTTAGAATTAACACTCCAGATTTTTAAAGTAAACTATATAAGAATGCAAAGGAGAATACGTTTATAATGAACAAAAAGAAACTGTCCCCATGTTAAGGATGAGAGTAATAGCACACCGAAGAGGACAGATTAAAAAATGACTAACCCTTTTTTTGCTTTCAAAGATAATAAACTTTTTTTAGTAAAGATCAGATAACACTTTGACTTTGCGTGTCAGACGTCTCCGTTACAATGGTCACCTCTGCCACTGCAGGTAAAAGGTGCCGTCGCAAAGTCAGGATGGGACAGCCGTACTCGCCCCAATTCTGAAACAGAGCAACAGATGTCCACGCTGAAGAATGCAGAGGAAAGAAAAGACTCCGTGCACCTCAGTGGAATACTGTAGCCCCAGAATGAGGGGAGAGAATTAGGCAGAATTTTTTTTAATAGCCAAATTTTGGGCCTCCCTGGTGGCGCAGGGGTTAAAGCCTCAATGCTATCAAGCTATTGCCAGCCACTGAGGCCTGAGTTCGCTCCCCAGCCGGGAGCAGACCCACGTGGCACAGCAGACCTCTCCTGTCTCACCAGCTGCTCCCCTCAGCAGCGTATCTCAGTAGGTGTGCTCCCCACTCTTGTTAATCCCTTTAGCCCCTGCAGCTCTGGCCTACACCCCGGTTCTTGCATGCATAAATAAATAAAAATAACTCTTAAAAAATAGCCATATTTGGAAAAGGTTCAAGAATCACAGCAAAACCCAAGCAGAATAAAAAAAAAAAAAAAAAACGCGGACCCTTCCTGGTGGTGCAGGGAGTTAAAGCTCAGCACTGCAAGTGAGCCACAGCCGCTTTAGTGCGAGTTCGATCCCCGCCCCTGAGGTGACCCACATGGCCCAGCAGACCTCTCCTGTCTCCCTGCTGCTCCCCTCAGCAGTGTACTTCGTCGATCTGCCTGTTCTGCTCCCCACTCTGTCTCTGGTGAAGCCTCTCGCCGCCCCTGAGCCTCTGGCCTGTACCCCAGTTCTGTATGCACAAATAAATAAATCTTTAAAAAAAAAAATAGGGCATCGAAGCCAAACTTCCAGAAGCTTAAGACAAAAAAACCTTGAGAGCAGCAAAATAAAAACGATATTGCAGAGGGGAGCAATGAATGCACAGTTATCTAAATGACTGCAGAGTTCTCTCAGAAATCATGGGCCCTTTGAGGGTATGAA